TCATTTATCTCATTGAAATCAGGAGAAATACGATTAGAAAGATGCGATAGTCGTTTTGCAATGAAAATTTCTAAAAAAAAGAACTTTTTTAAAAATCAAGAAAAATGAACTAATTTCATCGTAGTACTGTCAATTCATTGAAATTTAGTTTATTAAAAATAATTCGGAATGTGAATTCTATTCATCTATAGAAAAAAAACTATAGACAAGATTTTGAAATACTTTCATTTTCTGGAAGCTTGCTGTCGTCTTTCTATTCTCTTTCTTTTGTATTGTCACACTACTAGATAATCAAGGACAAATGCGTTTTGACTAGCATAACAAAAATTGAATACACTGGTACTTATTGTCATTTTGATTGAAAAGGTAAGATTTTTTTTTAATTCAAAAGAAATTTATATTATAAACTTCACAAAAATTATTTCTTCCGTCGAAAATCTTTTGCTATTGGAAACTGGTACTGACTATGTCCGCCTATCGAATACAACTTTCTTATCTTTAGACAAGAAAATTCAAAAAAAAGCGTTTTAATAAATGAAAAAAATGTTTTTTTTTAATGACGATGATTGTTTATATATGGATAGAGATCAAAATGAACAAACAAAACAAAAAAGAAATGAATGAAAAAATATTAATGAGAAGTGTTATATGAAATTTTAAAGTCAATGACATGAACATGTGATATAGAAAAAAAGCATTAATATCATTGTTTACACATCGAAAAGTTTTTCTATTTTATCTTTTAGAATGTCAAAAATTGCTGATTGATCATTTGAAACATGAGAAACTGATGATTCATTTGATTCATCTGATTCATTTGATTCATCTAATGGATACCATGAATCCAGCTTTTCTATTAAATTCAATAAATTTGAATAACGACTATTTGTACGTCGAGTGTTTTTCCATAATTGCAATGATTTTAGTACTAATTCGTTAACATCTTGTAAATATATAAATGAATCAATAGTTCGTTTGATATCAGCATTACTCATAGCCATTATAATATTTAAGGCACATATTAAATCAAAAGTTCGTTCATAGAAATAATATGGAAAACCTTGGCCTTTTAATAATTTTGAATACACATCTAAAAATGGTTTACTAGCATATCTAAGTGGACCTATTATATCTATGCTACCCCCCTTATTATCCGTATCAAATGCAAATGCAAAACCAAAATCAATTAATTTTATATGATTACTATCATGATCTAACATTAAATTTTGTGGACGTACATCACGATGAATAATACGACAATCATATAAATAATGAATTATATCAATAAGTTGTTTCGATTGGATCAATGATAATGATTCAATACATTCTAATTTTTTTTCATAGAATAAATATTTATCTAAATACAAACAACAAAAAAAAATTTAGAAATAGTATAAAATATTATTTCAATTATAGGTA